AAGGCCTGATGCAATATGGTTCATGGGGTCACGAAGAGTCGGACACGACTTAACGACTGAACAACAACAAAGACATAATAGGGAAGTCACAAGGTGATACATGGAACTGTTCTTTCATCAGAAGGGTGTATCTTGGGGTGTTACCTATTATAGCTCCAACCTAGGGCGCCCTCACTGTGCTTGAGTTATTTCCAAGTGGAGAGCTTGAAGAAACCTCCCCTCTGAAGTTAGACTGCATTTATTTTGTTCAAATAATTGTTTTACTGAATTGGGTATTTATGGTTGACAAAACTACAATCAGTCATATGTATGGATGTATATGCACTTATACGGGTGTTGGGGGGTACTTATTTTTTCTCAATGTGTTAGTAATCAGTAATATCAAATGTTGTTGTATATGTTCTATGCCACCAGTTGACTTAAGCAGAACATTTTTACTCCAAAAACGATATATATTGAAACATTTAAGTGTAAAACCGAAGTAGTATGCTGTCTTTGAATGAAAAAGTCTATTAAATCTATTTTTTGTGTTCAAATTAGCAAGTGTCAAATTTCCAAATGAATATGCCTGTTGCTTTCTTATTTTCAGTTTTTTTTGGGGGGGGGGGGTTGGTATAATTTTTTTTTAAAGGTTTTTTTTTTTTTTAAAGGAAGATAAAAACTAATAGAAACTAATAGAAAGTGAGAAAAAGGGAAATAGAAGAAAGAAATCAAAGAGAAAACTAAAACTTCAAAAAAGGGGGGAAAAAGTAAAAGAAAAATAGAAAGGAAAGAAAAAAGGTACAAAGAAGTGGCTTCCAATCTTCTTTACAGCCGTTGTAAGTACAATTATAAATTTATCTCTTACTCTATGGTTACATCATAACTCTTCTTTCTATAATCTATCCTGTCTAGTCATCAAAACCATAAATCATAAATTCATTTTTTTCTGTTTCATGCAAAAAGTCTATCAGGGGTTTCCAATCGGCAATTAACGTAGATATTGTCTTTTCTTTGATCAAAGAAGTCAGTTTAGCCATCTTAGCATGTTCTATCATTTTTACCAACCATTCCCTCATTGGGGGTAATGCCGAATTTTCCCATCTTTGTGCATATAATAATTTTGCTGCATGACTTTTTTCCAACAGTTTGTCCTTCAATCCCAAAAGAATTGTATATTAATTTCAACGGTATATTAATCTTCAAAATTCTCTGAATCAGTGTATGTATTTGAATTCAGAATTTCCTCGCTTTTTTACACGTCCACCAAACATGATAAGATGTCCCTTCTTCTTGTTCACATTTCCAACGTAAATTCTTATTTTCAATTTAGGAAGGATTTTGCATTATAATGACCCAAAACCAGGCCGACTTTCCATCCGACCTTCAGCCAGTGCTTAAAATTATCCACATGACTGCAGGCTAAAGAGGGAGCAGAAACTTACCAAACTTTGCCACCTCAAGTGTTATTTCTCATTCTGCCAGTTCAGAGGCATCCAAAAGAGTGATTTTAAAAAAGTTAGATGGTGGCTGAAACTGCATGATTGAAGCCACCATCTTGACTTTTTTTTACCTCCCCTGCGGATGGCCCTGTCCAATTGTATGTATAAGGCAAATGACCTGTTAGGCAGATAGCATCAAACAGCAGCCTAGGAGAAGAACTACAGATGGTAGCAATCTACCTCCTGATCAGGAAATTATCTGTTTTGATTCTTTTATTTTGGTGGACAGAGAAGCCCAGTGCTTCTGATAAGGGGTGGGACTGGTTCTTGACCCCATTGCCAGAGCCAGCACTCTATGTTGCAAAATTGGCCTCTGGTGAGGGAGTTCCTTCTCGGTGTTATGGAAGATCTATCGAAGCCTGCTTTTGCTGAGTCTTTCAACAATGAACATAACAGCCCTGTGACATCAGGTCAAGAGTCTTATCTCAGCCTTTCCCTGTGTGGACAACCTCGAGATGCATAAACCAATTCTCAATTCTCAGCAATAGCCATGCTGGTTAGGAAATTTTGAAACTTAAGTTCCCCAGGTCAGAAGTGACCCACGTTGGGGAAGGCCTGGTCTACGGTCAACCATCCTGCTTTCCTTAGTGTCCAACTAACTGCTCCAGTGATGCCCATAACCATACATTATGGCAAGAACACTTCCCAGTCATAGACCCCAGCAACTGGAAGAAACAAAATCAGAACAATTTTTGGCTCTTTGCATTTTCCTGTTGCTCCTTTAAAGATTTATAAATTGGTGGACTTTGTTAGTTGCAGTCCCAGTGTATCAGAAGGTGCTGCAATGCTGCAATTGCTCGTTGGGTGATATTCCACAGAACTCAGTGGAACTTAATCCTGCTAAAAACCCTATAGGTTGCACTCTTAATACGTGATGATCAATAAGATCCATTGATCAAAGCAGGACTGGCTTTAAGTGGTTATTGGCAGGAGTACACTTTCAGCCATTTAAATTGCATGGCATTTCTGTCCTCAGTTAACAGAAAGGTTATCTTTTTTGCCAGCTTTATTTCTCACACATTTCAGATACTGTTATTACTTTCTTATTTAACCCTCGGTCGGCAGTAGCCTTCAAGAGTTACAATCTGGTGCTGTAGATATAAAATATTTAGCTGTTTTCAAGCTTCCCCGGGAAGGAAATAAATGTCTGTTGCAAGACATTTGACAGCGAGAGCCAAAACTTCCATTTTTTTCTTTGGAGGTTTTGTTTTCTAGAAGGCAAGACAAAGTCTCAAGTCCTAAAAGGAACAGCTAGAGTCTGTTTCCAGTCTAGGTTGCCAGGGAGATGCAAACTCAAGAGGAGTGTCAGTTCAAAAGAGTCAGAGAATAAAGACATGGTAAGGAAAGAGTTTACTGATCTTATATAACCTTTCTTTTTAATTATTCTTTAAATGAAATGGAAATGGGTAAGAATGACCAAATCCAGGACCTGTAATTTGAACAACGATGGCAAAAATGCAGAAGCGTACAAAATCAGATGAGTTTGTATTAATGTTTATTATTCTCATGTACAAGTCTTATTGTTTATTATGAGAGTCCTTCAAATGTTCTTCAAATGTCATCGTGAGAGTGAAGGATTCGTGATGAACTTTCTTTTTCTTTGTACTTCCTTTCATCAGCTCTATTACTGAACCAGATCCCTTCTTTCATTGTATATAGGTGGGGTACCATACCTACTTAACATGATGGAGCATTTCCTAACATAAAACTTTATTATATTGATTCTAGGAAAGAGTAGTAGGTATCTTCACCCATTTTTGGTTTTCAACCAGTACAATGTTTTGCCTTGAAATATTATTTGTAACTAAGTTCCTTTAATTAAAGAACAACCAGTGCCAAAAGGCGAAGACTTATCTAACCTCCCAACCTCATAAGGTTTATTGAATGGATTCATCTCTGGTTCCTGAGTAAGGAAGTCTAACACATATTAGGTTTTATCAGAAGAAAATATGTTAAATATTTACTAGGAGGGAAAGAAAAGAAGCTGTATGATGAAATTTATCTGTAGCTTACCTTCCCCTTATTTTTTTAATCCAAACTAGACAATACATTCCATGAAGGGTTCCCCCCCCTCCCCGCCCTTAGTTCCTACTACTCC